TGTCTTCCTTTAAATATCATTTGAGAATCTAAATAAAAAATGGCATCTATAAGATAAACACATGTACTTGTTTATATTTTTTTGATTTTTCTTGTCAGCTGGTTATTCTATTACCATAAATGCCACAGGGAAAGGGAGAGGAGAACCCAGCCTGAGACACAAGACATCTATCAAGAGGTGAATTGTTAGTACTGCACCTCATTGACAGGAAAGCAATGCACAGTGCATGAACCCGTGTGGGAATAAACATAATTTTTAAATTTTAGAATCATTTTATTGCAATATATTTTGAATCATCACAAAGAGAGCTATTTAAAAAATCCTACTAAGCAGTGAACTCTTTATTTGGAGTTCTTTATTTGCTTCTAAACATCTAGATGTTTAAATTTGGGAATACAGTTACCACAGAGAGTTGAACTTTTTAATTTTTAACACTGGTGTATGTAATAAATCACCACATTCTATTGGAACCACTTCACTAACTTAATTTGCTTGATTAATAATAGGAACAGACAATAGGAAAATAATATATTTCTATAATACTCAAGATTAAATCATCTATGCTTAATAGCTTAAAAATTTATTGTATTCTGTATGATTATTTTAAAATATAGAGCACTGATTACATGGAATTATTTAATGTGAGCTATTAAAATGGAAGTTCATTTAGAACATGCAATATGTCTTTCATATACTCTTACAAGTATAACCTGGGTTTCCCTTACTAGATCAAATTGTTTAAGTTGAAAACTGCAACAAAATGTTTTTTTGTGGGTTCTGTTCCCACCTAGCAGTGAAAGAAATCAGGTGTATGTTAAAGTCACATTTCTCATCCACTCTTTCTCTGCCACACACACAGCTTTGGGCAAGCTCCTAAGGGTGTCTTCCATCAGCTCTTGGATATAATGTGGCTTGCAACATTTTTCTCTTCTGCTGTTTCAGATCACTCTGAATATGTCTCCTTCAGCTGCTTTCATGGAGGATGCGATTGCTGTTAAGCCTCCACCAGCAGTGCCCACTGAAGGTTTGTCATGCCAGTATAATGCCATGGATGCCCTCCAAGTGAGACGGGCTGGGACCTGGGACCTGGGACTTGGGACCTAGGACCCTTTACAGAATGCCTGCACCTGGACAAATATCTCCTAAAGCAACAAAACACAAAGAAACTATAAGGGACTAAAAATCACTGCACACATGCACAGTTGTGGCAGTTATGAACAATAAGATACAAAAAGGCCAAAACAACTGTCACTTTTGAGGTGCCGGGAGCAAAAGCAGGGTACTACTGCACATAATCTGGGCACATGGCGCCACCAAGGGTGGGCACACCACCCAAACCACCCCTTCTGCCCCACCCACCGATCTGCCCCCATCCTCACCCCATTTAAGGGACCAGCTCCCCTCCCATCCAGGAGCGGGCAAGGGAACCTGATACTTGTTTTTGTTCCCTTGCACTACAGCACGAGTTCCGATATAGCCTTCCTTGAATTTCTCATCTGGTCTCTTATCAATTTATATTGATTAAAGAATCTAAGAACTGAGGTCGGTATCACAACTATGTCCCTGTCTTTGCTGCCCATGACACCAGTGATGCATGAGAGCCTCCCAGGTTTTTCTTTATTTGAGCTGCAGGTTAGTCTACTCTTGCTTAAGCCCTGGTATTTGCTCTTGAACGTGTTTTAACCTTGTCAGAGCTTCTAGCTCTTTTGTGTTATGTGCTCTTACATAAGCTGTATCTCCATGGATTTGCCAAAAAGCAGATCCTTGTGAATTTAGTTTTGTTTTTATTTGCTCACAGTCCCCTCTGCCTAGAACATAAGTATAAATCCATGTGGGATGGTCTGGTGGCCATCCTTCCTCTCCCAAGCCTGGTGCCATTGGGTCAAACTCCCGTGCCTTACCATTCAGTTTTTCCTAAGAGATGCTTCTATCCCTCATGCACAGACTCTTCTAGGCACATCCACATGTCCTGCAAATTTGCCCCCAAAATGTTTAGTCTTCAGTGAAGATGTGTGAGGTCAAGGTAAGACCTCCTTTTGATGTCTGTATTCTAAACAATTACCTGTATATTCTTCTTTTAAAAATTGAATATCTATTGATGCTGAATTATTAGAATCTCTTGAATTTCATGAACATCTTCTACCCCAAGACATCCTAGTTCTCTTTATGATACATTGTCAAAGCATAGCAAGAACCCCCTCTCCCCCAACTAATAGCTTGCGTTTTCTTCTAAGAGCTCTAATTTTGGGGAGTTTGTTTGTCTTTCAACATTTTAACATTTCTGAAAGCAGGATGTGTCTTTTTATAAACAATGTGTACTTTTAATGTTTGAAGTTTTTTTTTCCTTAACAAATATTTGAGGATGACAAAAATGAAACAAAGCAAAACAGACTTATCTTTCAAATGATCACTTTGAATCAAGGAGATACAATATATCAGATTTTGACTTGTTTGGCTTGTTTTTGCTTGGAAACTATATTTGGCCTGAGATGTATCCAAACACACACATGTTAACCAGCAATAATACACTGTGGTTCAACTGAATAACTAAGGAGGTAACCTTTGACCCATGTTTCAATGAACATGACTAAAGAAACCAAATCAGCTTGGTATGAGATGTTTAACTGCTGATGATTGACTAACGATGTGGGATATATAACTACAAAAATGTTGCTCAGATCCTTGATGTATATTGTGGGTATAATTCATATTTTCATGTGAGTCTGCATGGAACATGCATTATCCTTAGAATGGGCCAACAAATACTTTGCATGTATGAACATGACTCTATTATACATTGGTTGTGTGGGAGCAGTGCTAAGGTATCAACATCATGTGTGTGATTAGTGTGGACCAGTACTCTTTGTCCTGTTACCTGGCTATGGGCTGACATCCATCATCTGTCTCTCAACTTTGCACTATTTTTTTTCATGGGTTCTTAACAAAAGAGTTTGAATAAATTAGCATAAATGAGTCCCCACTATGGGTAAATAAAGGATATTCTCCAAGAACACTCCATAAGCAGATTCTTCTTGATTTGGAACCAAAGATAGCAAATTGGCTCTCATGCTTCAAACTACAGAGTGATAAAGACAGAACGTTCTCTCAATTCCTCATCAACCTTGGCACCTTTGCCACTTATTCCTTTGTAGTGACAGATCCTTTTTGGTCAACAGTGCTCACCTCTCCGTAACCTGGAAGCCATGATGATGAAGTAAGTGAATTGAACCATATCGATGATGCTTCTGATTTACTGTTTGTTGAACACAGCATCCAAATGTGCTTAAAAGAATGTCACTGACAGAGGACACAATGAGAGTGTATCCCCTGAAGATTTGTAAGGTGATGCCAGGAATACCAAACTCATACTGTGCCAGACGATACACAAAAACTCTGCTGCCCTTACCACATCCAGTCTAAACTCATCCATCTTTATTTTTCTAGCTTAATTACAGACCTCCCCAAATGGCCAGGCCTCCTTTTAATTTGTAGGAAGTTCCGAAGAGCACCAATTTGTCTACTTTCAACTTTTTATCCCGTCAGGTCACCTTGGTCTTTGAAAAATCTGTATCATTAAGTGTAGTGGTTACTAAATAAGAGTCTGTGGAGCTGCTGCATCAAAACCTATTGGGACACTGATTCAAAATATAGATGCCGACTCCCTACCCAGGACCTACTCAGCCCAAATTGCCAGAGGCAATGCACATCCCCAAAGAAACCCTGGTTAGGAACTACTGATTTAGGGAGACACCCAGCAATGCCCTTTATGACACTAGTCGGGTAGGGTAGCAATTTACTCAAGCTCCTAGCACTAGTATATAGGAGTGCATGCTGGCCTCCTTGGGTGACCTAGTGACACTCGTAAGGACCAACTTCACAGTCACGGTCATTCTTTATTCCCAACTTAAAGTAACATGTGCTCCGTGGGGGCAAATCAGATTCCAACACAAACAGGACCTCACAGTTAAAATTTGCTAAAAACAGACAGATGTCAAAGACCCATCACTCAGAAGCCAGCCTAGTCTGAAAGAAACCACCATAAAGACCATCTGATGTTTTATTAGCAGCACTTTGCTCAGCCTCTGGTTAAAAAGCAATTCTTTGCAGCAACCCAGTTTTAGCTGTCCCCAGGGCTCTGGCTCAAAACAAAGTTTGACATTATTTTTTTCTAAGCCAGAGGGGCACTCCCAGCACAGAGGTATCAGACAAGACACATGGTCAGGAGCAATGGAATCCATTTATTTTTCACTGAACAAGTTATTACCCTCTCCTTTTTTTGCCCAGATTGCTGTCCCCAGATGCCATTCCCATGGGCAGCCTCTACCATCACAAAGCTCCACTCCCGGTATCGATAGGTTCATGTGCAGAGCAGCCTGGGGAGAAACATGGTTTGATATCCTAGGGGGCCATTTCTCTCTCTGGGGAAGGGCAGGCTTCCATTGCTCTGCTTTCTCTCTCATTAATGTGCCCAGCTAGGTCTCTTTACTGCTCTATTTAACAGCATCCACTCCATTATTGATCAGATTGTGTGTAATGGTACATTGGCTGAGGAAAGTGATGATTAGGCTGTAAAGAGGAGACAGTGGATGGGATCTTGTGTCTATACAGTTTAGCAACGCTATGGAGTCTGCCTGAAATTATCCAGAATTCTGAATTATCCAGAATTGGAGACGTATTCTGGATTAAAGTGATAGCGACAAAGCAAGTCCCTGAGGTTAAGACAGTCTAATGTTTCCTTCTCCACGGTCAGCCAGGACCACTCCAAAGTAGTTGTTTTATGTTTGGGCCCAAAGGGTTTAGAGGACTTTTGTAATCTCCACGTGGATGCTCTATAATTTTGACGTGGGACAATGTGCCTGCATTATCACCTTTTTGCATTTTCGGCCTTTCTAATTGCCGCTTAATTTGATACCAGGTAAAGTTAAGGTTTGGGTACATTCTTGCTTTGTTCTTTATACTGAAAATTACATGGGATTGTAATCTTTTGTAACTAATGACTGTTTCTGCTGATAGCTGATAATTGCTTCAATTTTCCTATATTCTACTATTTCTACTATTACCAGTACCTCCTTGCCAAACACACTTTTCATATTTAACTCAATCAGTCATGATAATAAAGGAATTCATTTACTTCTTGTCTAAGTTGTTGAGTTGAAGATGGGAGGACCATTGACTCCATTGGGTTCCAGATCAGAAGACAGAAACCATGCAATAATTTGAACAAGGAAAGCTTAATGAAAAAAAATTTTAACCACAAGAGGAGATTACCTCCTAGGAGTAAAGTAAGACTTACAGAAATAGCAGATACAGGGAGCAGCCACTGCCTCTAAGGCTGAGCAGGGACCTGATGAAGCCCCTCCTCCCTCCTTTAAGGCTGAGAGTCAGACCCCTTGGAGGGTGCGTGATAGCTGCCCACTATGTGATGGAGAAGTTTGTGGCACTGGTAGAACTCTATGCAAAGCTGTCCTTTTGGGTTCTGGGAGAAGCTACACAGTGGGTAATGCTAATGAAACTTATTGGTTCTCAGCACCTTTGTTTTGGTGCCCTATGAGCTCCTGGCCGCCTTACAATGCAGGAGCAAGCAAAGAACACACCAGAACCAGGAAGAAAAGCCTTTTCAAGTGTCCCTGCAGTGCCCTCTGCTATTTTAACACTGTGCAAGCTGGCAAAGGAGAGATGTTCCATTTCCAAAATCAGGACAATGAAGGGCAGATCTGAAGCTGAGCAGCAACAGTCTAAGAACTGGCACAATCTCCCCTTTGGCTCCTCAGCGGCTACATGTGCCCTTCTGCACACAACTGAGCTTCTTTACAGCAACAAAACAAGCCTGTGTTTCCACCTAACAATATATAGATATTCTTTATATAAGTGAAATTTTCACCCCTTCCCCAAAATGAAACGACACGTCATCTTATCACTACGTTTATGAATTACTCCTCAACTTTAGTCATAGTCCCATTGAATAGTCTGTTCTATAAAGATCAAAGATATTGACTAGTGCACAACCATCAAAAAAAAAAATGGAGCCCTGCAATAGCCATGACATGGAAGCAACTTAAATGTCTATCAATAGATGACTGGATAAAGAAATTGTAGGGGTGTGTGTGTGTGTGTGTGTGTGTGTGTAAAATACCAATATGTATAACATATTTTATATATTACATTATATATAATATACCCTATATATTCACATATATAGATTTAGGAATACTACTCAGCCATTAAAAGGAATGAAATAATGCCATTTGCAGCAACCTGTGAATGGATGTAGAGATTACCATATATTAAGTGAAATAAGTCAGACAAAGATAAATATCATATGATATCACTTTACGTGAAATCTAAAAAACAATTCAAATGAACATATTTACAAAAC